AAAAGGTTCCCTAGTAGCAATATATCCTAAATGTAAGAACAGATTAAAATATTGACTAAAATATAACCTGTTATCATGACATAAAGAGCGTACATTTTCTTTCTTTAATTTTTTTTTTGTTTTTTTTTTTTACGGAGAGCAAAACCAAAGGTCGGTCAAATTAACTTCTGTACATTTCAACAATAACAAGAGATGACATATGGATAGTGGTGAAGCAGATATTCTGTTCACCATGTAAAAACAATATGCTTTGGTGGGATTGTCTTTACTCAAGGATGTACTGGAGAGAGAGAGAGAGAGAGAGAGAGAGAGAGAGAGAGAGAGAGAGAGAGAGAGAGAGATAGATAGAGAGAGAGAGAGAGAGAGAGAGAGAGAGAGAGAAAGAGAGAGAGAGAGAAAGAGAGAGAGAGAGAGAGAGAGAGAGGGAGAGAGAGTGAATGAGAGAGAGAAAAGAGAGGGAGAGAGAGCGAATGAGAGAGAGAGAAGAGAGAGAGAGAGAGAGAAAGAGAGAGAGAGAGAGAGAGAGAGAGAGAGAGAGAGAGACAGACAGACAGACAGACAGACAGACAGACAGAATGAGACTAGTGAGAGAGAGAGAGAGAGAAAGAGGATTACTATAGGATCTGTGCGCTTTATATGTTCTTTGTATTATTGTACTGCGCATTGAACACTTCTTTGTGGAAATGCGCTATATAAATGCAATTTATTATTATTATTATTATTATTATTATTATTGGACAAGCGTCTCACCTCAATCACCAAACCTCCAATGAATTCACCGTTGATTGCAATATCCATGAACACATGATCATGCTGGAATAAAGAAAAAAAAATGTTTCACTCAATATGGAAAAACTTAAGGGTAAACACTCAATTGCTCTTCTGACAAAGGCTTTTCTTTTCAAGGCATTAGAAATAATCAAACACACCTTGTAATGGTGCTCATCAAATATTTTTTAAACATTCAAGATGTACAATGGTCACTGATCAAGAGAAAACAGTGGACTGAAAATAAAGTCAACAGAGAGAGAGAAATCATCTGAGACCTTATCCGTGCGTTGCCTGCTGTGCCTCAACTTTCCTTGAAAATAAGGTGTCCACATGAGATTTTATTAATTGATCTCTGCCATTTGTATAAATAAATGAGAAATTAAGTGGAGAGATGATGTGCACAGTGCGGATATGTGAAAGAGACAGAGAATGAGAAAACACATGTGAGTTGACATGTTTCAGCATGCGTTCATTTTGAGGTTTTAGTCTGCATACATGTTTCAGGTGAGTGTTTGTGTACATGCATCTCTGTGCATGTGTGTGTGTGTGTGTGTGCACATGAATGTGTGTGTGTGTGTGTGTGTGTGTGTGTGTGTGTGTGTGTGTGTGTGTGTGTGTGTGTGTGTGTGTGTGTGTGTGTGTGTGTGTGTGTACACATGTGTGTGAATGTGTGTGTTTGTGCCTGTGTGTGTCTGTGTGTGTATACCACAATGTTTTTCCTGTTTTGTTTCTAAGCTGACCCAAGCGAAAAAAAGAGAATATTTTGAAAGGCAAACTAGACTAATAAAACTAATCTCTTTTTTCAATCATATCAGTTTTAAAACAGAGAGAGGGTGCATGGCCAATCTCCATGAAAAAGTTAAAATAAAAAAAGAAATGAAAGAAGAAATGGGGGGGGGGGAGGTACCTTTTGGGAATTCAATTTGTTCTTGTAGGCTTCCTCTGTGAGTGTGAAGTATAAAGGCTCGGGTCTGTACTCCTCAAAATTGTGGTTATCCTCCGCCCAACCAATCAGATCATCAGGTCCTCCGATAAGCGTGCCATTCACAAAAGCAATTGCTTTTTCGTCAAAGGCCCAGGCTTCACCTCTCAGCTCCTGCCAAAAGAATGGTGGACATATGTGTGTACCTCAGTTATAGCAAACAGATTCACACAACACTAGTTTTATTCTCATCAAAAATGTTTTTGTTTTTTTTAAATATAAATTTTGTTAATACAAGTATATATAATAAAACATCACTCGTACATAACAAACTTGCTTTGGAAATCAAAGGAGAGGCTTTTCAATATCCACATGCTACAGTTTAGAGCAATTAGGAGGAAAGCTACTTTAACTCACTGAAGACGGGTTCCAGTTTAAAAACACGGGATGGGCCGTCAGTTCTGTGAGAGGTTTCTCATGGAAAACGCAGGATTGTCGTTATCGCCATACAGCGTCTATATAAATGCTACTAAAAGCACGAGATCTAGCTTAGACATATGCCTAGCCATTTGTATAATTCCATGACAAATTTCCCGTAAATCAGTCAATAACTTTTTGATCCAGAGCATTTTCAGTTAGGTGACTGTTACGACAGTTTGTGTTGTAAATTGCAGAGAACATCTTTTATTTTCCTAAATTTCTTTAACATTGAATTTTATCCCTTTTTTTTTAAAGTGACAAATAATCTAGCAAAGTTAGACACTTGTGCTCTGGTATGTTTATTGTTCTTGTGTTGTACTTGATTGTGTCTAAAGGGTATTGCAGTTGGTTAAATGGTTCAGATTTTATATAATTTTGAAAAAAAATTTTAATCTCTAGACTTCAGTGCTTGTACATAGTAAAATCCCTCAGCTTTCAGAGGAGTTAAACCTGCACATCAAGGCCAACTTAGGCTGGGTGAGATAAAGCATCCAAGCAGACAGATTTGTCCGTCATATTTTTTTCTCTTCACTTTAAATGTTCTGCGCCTCACACACAATGTTATCAGGGCAGACATTAAACTTGGCTGACTATTTCATTGTCTACTATCAGATCAACCTTTCTTTTCTTGCCAGAAGGGAAAAGTATTCCTTTTTATTAAAAATAGAAATTACGAAATATTGGAGAGGGAAAATATAAGCAATGGATTTCTCGTTGAAAGACAGAAAAAATCATACCGTACCAAACATGATATATCTTTCACAGACAGTAATCAAAGGCAGATTCATTGTTTATAGTGAGCGGTACAGATTTCAAAAAGGCAACTTTATCACTGATGCTAGGAACTGAGGGGAGGGGGGGGAGAGACGGGGGGGGGGGGGAGGAAGGGGAATGGAAAGCAGGATATAGTGTCAGAGGACAGATGATTTGGTAGCCAATATGCAGACGGTCGTAAATTCTACTGACAACTGATTTCACTTGATAAAAACATCTTTGGCTTCTTTTGACAGGAATTAAGTGAGGGGTTTTTCATGAGTTTGTAAATAAAGACCTTCCTCCAATGAGCAAAATGGCATGAAGTCTTTATGCTGTGGGAACACTCCAGTGCAAAGTTCAAAACTCATAATATGTAGGTAAATTAATTCAGCTCCTCTAAGTTTAGACATCTCTTCCCAGGTGCCCCATTGCCAAAGAGTTGAGTATATGACTATATTAAATCAGTTTTTACATTTGGAGCTAAAAGAAACCAATTTTCAAACTTACCTTCCTTTTGTTTTCTATGAAGATGTCCCAGTCAAATTGCAACATCCCATGGATGACGGGATCTGGGAACTTTTCTGGCCTCCTTTTGTGCAAATCCTGGAAGAAGAAAAACCACCAACACAGTTGTAACTAGGATTTCTAAAAAAGAGCAGTTGCATAAAAAACAAAATCTATGAATGTGAATATGCTGTCTTGATTGTCGTAATGGCAATGTGTTATGTTTACAGTCAGACTGGTCCAAGATGATCGCCTACTGATGAGGAGAAAAGTAGTCATCTTAAGACAGATAGGGTATTATCCTCTCTGATAGTGCCATCTTAATCAAGAAAAAAACACAAAGGGGAAATAGAAAGTGGTCATTTGTGCTGGCAATTGTCTTGAATAGGTGGTGTTTACATGTAAAGCACACTTTCAACTGTATACATATATTTATAAGTGCGTGTGTGTCTTTGTGTATGTGTGTGTGTGTGTGTGTGTGTGTGTGTGTGTGTGTGTGTGTGTGTGTGTGAGTGTGTGTGTGTATGTGTGTGCGTGAGCAGGATTAAAAATATGTGTAGATTTAATATAACAGCGCACACACACACACACGCGCACACACACACACACACATGCACACACACAAACTGCAGGTGTACGAGACATTTCAAAGAATGAAACTTAATAAACTTTTCTGTTTCACAGTGGCGAAAACCTATTTTTCCTTTTCAATTAAACTCCACCTAAGATCCCCATGCTTGAGAGCAAGGTAAATACGAGATCTTAAGCAAACCGGGATTTTAGCCGAATGGACAGGGGAAGAATCCGCAGTAACTCATTCATGGTCAGGCCCAAAATCTGTACAATGATCTTCCCTTACCTTAAAATGAACTGACGAGACTCCTGGGCACTAAAAGTTCTTTTCAGATGTCAGTTTTTTCCTTTTGTTTTTTTTTGGTTGTTTTTTGGTGTGGGGGGGATTTTTTTTAAATACTGTGTCAGGTGGTAACTGCTTGGCTTCATATATATATATATATGTCTGAGTGAGTATATTCATTCCAGTAGACTACAGTTGTGTCTTCTTTTATCAGTAATTCTCAACATATTCTAAACTTTGTGCCAAAACTTCAAATTTATTATGGAAATCGCATCCTAACTCTGTCAATCTCGCGGAGCAATTCCGAAAAATTAAAAACCCTTAGAAATTAGGCATTAATTTGAACATATAACATATAGATCTATATACCTTCAACCACTTCTCCCTTATAGTATGAAAATACAAATTTTTCAAAATAATTCGATAGAATGCTTGCTTATCCTGCTAAGAAGGAGAATGCCTAGGCCTACAGCCTACCTTCTTTGTGGATGAAAGAAACTTTGTAAACTTTGTTGTTAAAATTACTTTTTTAGTGGGGGTTTTTTCTTCTTGACGTCTTGGTCTTGAATTCAGTTGTACATAAATAATAAAATTAAACTCAATATGACACACAATCTCAACAGCTAAATCCATACAACTGTGAAGCGATGATACGATGCACTATTTTTCAAATTTACAAACCTCTATGCAAGACTTCGCCTTGATAAAGTTGACATCGTTTATTTGCCCGTAAAGAGCTATTTTACACACAGCATCCTCCATCTTGTTTAAGGTTTCCAACGGAAACGGCAAGGGACAGCATTCTTACCAACGTGAAAAAAAGTTATTGTTCTTGTCTAGCGAATTAAAAAACATTACCGGAAAAACATTGAATTTACCCGGCTTTAATCTTCTCTTCCCTTTATCATCAGCTTTATGCTTTGACTTGAACCTCTACCATAAATACCTTCTCTGCTAGTCCCCCACGATGAAAGAGGATAGCCAAGAATGTACATATACAATTCCCTGTGAAGATACAGTTCAATGTGTTGAATTTTCTCCGTTTGAATGGTCTTATCAACTCCTTGCGGTCGGAACATCATCTGGGGTGTCGGTATACTCCTGCAGGTTCCAGGTAGGCTAGGCTAATCTTCATTGAATTTATAAATAATGGAAGGCAAGAAGATATTATCATTACAAAGTCGTCGGAGGGGGGGGGGAGACTGCTCTTGAAAACTTTATACCCACTCCCCCACCCCCACCCCGCCCCTCACCATCACCAAATCGTATGGGCTGAAAAGTCTAGCAGTAGTGAGCGGTGGGCGCTAACTTAGTACCAGCGCTCAGTAGATCTAGATCTAGATCTATTAGCCTAGGAGGCTACTTGCCGTTTCCACTTTTTTTTGTAGCCCCAGATATAGCAGATAAAATTATATAGAAATCTAGATCTAGATCTATATATATTGACTTCAAAAAAGTTCTTCGCATTATAATGTAATTAATAATAATAACAATACAGAGTAATTGAGTAAACCCCCTCCATTTTTTCTCTTGTGCAGGAAGAAGATGCCGAGGTGGCCAATGGCATCGAGTTCAAACGACTTCGGGACTTCCCTTCAAAAAGCGCTACCCCTTTGGCGATTGCTTGGAGCCCACAGACCTCCCTGCAAGTGCTACCAAAATTAATGAGGTCAGAAATAGATTCTATAATAAGTAAGGGTAGGCTACATCAGCAAAAATGGTTTGAAATTATGAATGACGGTGGGGGGGGGGGGGGGGTAGTAAGAATTTTACAATTCTTGCATAACAATTAGGCCATACATGCAGAAGATTAGAGGTGTCACTAGAGCATTTGTTACTTACACAAGGAAAAGAAAGAGGAGGAGAGAAGTAAGGACTATAAATTTGTCTGATAAAAAAAAGTGGGAGCAAACCACGCCAGGCCACCCACCAACCAGCCACCCACTGGCCATGTTTCTGGTGTCCTCTTCTCTCAAGTTCTACGGGTGTCTACTTTTTTCCACATTGGTGAGACTCTCGTTCATAATGAATAGATTCTACATGATAAGACTTGAAAACGAAATTTGACACATTTACTATTATGAAGTGAAAAAAGCATCTGATTTATAGAATAAATATTAAATTTCACCTCAATTATTACAATTTTTCCTAGTAGGTTTGTTGAATTCTTTCACATACTCTTTTTTTTTTTCACTTCATAATGTCCTCAGTTTTGCCGTTGCTGCAGATGACAGGACATTACAAATTTTTGCCACAGACATGAACTCTACCCACAGTGTCAAGGTAAATCAGTGCTTCAGTAATAAGGAGCAACTTGGGGGCGGGGGCAGTGATAATTTTATTACGGGTGTTTAGTCGACTCATAATAAAAAAATCATATATATAGTTTAGTCATGAATGGTTTTGTTTGGGGATGGGGGGTGAATTAATTGGTGTTGAGAATAGAGGTAATGTTGTTTTAGTTTTCCTTAAACTTAAAGTTAAAGTTGTGTTAAGACTTTTGTTTGGTCTGTGTTCTTTCAGTAATTGAATATATTTCTTTGATGGATGACCATCATTGTCTCATCCTGCCATTATAATGCAGTCCTTCTGTCATAAATGTTTCATTCATAGAACAAGACCCTGAGAACTAATGGTATAAAAACTACAAGAACTTATTCTCGTTAAATTGTCTCTGAACATCAGGTTTTGTCAGGTCACTCTGACTATGTGAATGCCCTGACCTTTGACCCCAACGAGGGCGTGTTGCTCGCCAGCACAGGTGACGACATGACGTGTCGAGTGTGGTCAGTCAGTGACGGCACGCAGGAGTCCATATTTCAGCTGACCTCGCCGGGGATGTCCGTGTGTTGGCATGCAGATGAGCCCTTCAAGGTGAGAGCCAAGGCCAGGTCTGCCCTAAGCAGACAAAACTCCTTTATTCATTTCTGGGCACAAAATTGTTTATTTTGCTTAATCAAATCAGTTGCCCTACTTGTGTTAAAAAAATCAAAGGGAAACTGTGACTAGTTTTTTTAATGAATAAGAATTCGAATTTTGACAGAACGCCTGCATATTTTGTATGGTTATGCTGACACTCTTTATCTGGAAACTGCTGTGAGTGAAAAAAGGCACTTTGTCAGCTTACGCTAGCGATGTGATGTGATGATTTTTCTCATAATTCTTATTTTCTATTATGAAGACCAGATGAAATGTCTCAGAAAAATGGTTGATGTCGTATGTCAAATCATAATAAGTAATTAAGTGGGGTCTGTCTCTCAGATTTCAGAAAAACAATTTTTGGTTGTTTGTTTTTTTTTTGGGGGGGGGGGGTGAAAAATTGTAAGTGACATCCTCAACGATTTATCTTTGCCTGTTCCACTTTTCAATTTTAACCCTCTACTCTGCTGGGTGTTCAGAATTAATAGTTGACATATTATCCGATAGCCAAGTATCCATTTGCAGCAGGATGGCCTTTGGAAAAAGAGAGACAAAAATGTTTCTTGGGATACAACTTTTGCAACAGTCGTCAATCAAATTATATTTAATCTTACAATCTGAGCCAGATTCTCATACACAAGTTTTCCAGGACATCGCCTTTTTGATGTTACTATGTCCCTCATTGTTCTAACATGCAAACCCCCCGGGGCAGTGCCACTGACAGTAGTGTCTTTAGGCGATTCCCAAAGGGGGGAAATTTCTCGTTCAAGTACAGTAGAATTGTAAATGGGCTGATTCATGTCACGCTCATAACTGTGCCTGATCTACAACAGGGAACTGCTGCTTTTTCTTTCCTATTCCTTACTATTGTCATTTTCCTCTACTTCTTTTGTATGTCTGTCACTCTCTTGTGACCTGCTATTTCCGGGGTGCCTTGATAGTCGAAGCTGACCTTGTGCTGTTGAAGCTAGAGAGGTGAGCAGAATAAGTCTGATTCCTTGTATGGACTTCTCTGTTGACACCCACCCCTTGGCGCTCATATGACCTTATGCAGCTGCCAGCGCTGTAAACCCTCTACTATTTTTAAAAAATTAAAAAATAACATACAAGCGGGTGCTTGGAGATGGCCGGTGGTAGGTCCCACTTCTTTACTTTCCCTCTGTTGTTTCTGTCTGTCTGTCTGGTTTTTTTCTTTTTCCCTGCGTTAAATGACCATAATTGTGTCAATGTGTTTCTCCTTACTCAGCAGACAAATAAACAGACCCATTATCCTGCCATGCATTTGTTTCCCTTTGATGTTTTTGATGGTGCAAGAGGAGGGATTCTCTCTCTCTCTCTCTCTATCTCTTGGTCTCTCTTTCTCTGTCTCTTTATCTCTCTCTCTCTCTCTGTCTCTTAGTCTTTATCTCTCTCTCTCTCTCTTTGTCTCTCTCTCTCTCTTTGTCTCTCTCTTTCCCTCTCTCCCTTTTCTCTGTGTCTCTCTCCCTCTCCCTATCCCGCTCTCCCTCTCCCTCTATCCCTCTCTCTTTTTCTCTCTCTATCCCCCTCTCTGTCCCTCTCCCTCTCTCTCTCTCTATCCCTCTCTCTCTCCCTCTCTCTCTCCCTCTCCCTCTATCCCCCTCTCTCTCCTTCTCCCTCTCCCCCTATCCCTCTCTCTCTCGGAATCTCACTCTCTCAGACATCCTTTCCTCCACTCACGCATCTATCTACAGTATCTCTTTCACTACTTTCAGCTGATGGTGGCGCAAAAGGACGGGACCATCCGCTTCCTGTCGCTGCACAACCAGCAGCCAATCATGAGCCTCAGCTGCGGCCAGAGCCCGCTCATGTCAGCTGACTGGTCTCGGCACAACAACTTGCTGGTCGGTGCCGTCTGTGGCTCTGAGTGGCTCGTCTTTAACGTCTCCGTGTCCAGGTACTACTTTTTGGGCTTTTCTTTTTTTTTTGGGAGGGGGGGTTGTTGTTTTGGGGTTTTTTTTTTGGGGGGGGGTTCCTGCTTTTGTGTTTCTGCCACTGTTGTTCTTGTGTGCTTGTTTTTCGTGTGTGTGTGTTAAAGGCCTAGAAGGTGAGTGGTTGGTGGGTGTTCTAGGGTGGTTTGCTCGTACGACCTCTTTCCTATCCAACATCTATTATCTATCATCCTTCAGGCTGATCTTCCCCTGGAAATGTCTATTGTAGTGGGTGCAGGGGATATATGGGGCTGAATATCATAGCAACCTGGTGATTTACGTTACATTCCCTTTTTCAAACTTGTTGCAAATGTTAACATATTCGTTTTGAATGATTGACTTTTTTTTTTAAGTGGAAATATTTCTGATTCCCAAATTTCTTGTGCTGGGACAAGCTTTCCTTCCTTTTATTTAACGTCCAGTAATCATGAGATTCAGGTTGAGGGTTTGAGCCTCGGCTCAGTCTGATATTGTGCACTTAGAAAAGACACTTTCCTCGAATTTCCTATTTATTTAGCTCGGTACTTTTGGAGATGGATGTGAAATCTGGAGTTCCCGTATCTTAAAAAACTTATTAGTGTTGATAGGAGTATAAAACCTATACCATTTTCACAATCACTTTATTTATCATTTATGGATATCCTGTTCACTTCCCCCTGTCCCTTTGTGCCGCTGTCTTGCAGCTTACCCATTGAGAGACGACCAGCACACAACGAGGGAGGCAAACATTTCAGGTGGTCTCGCTGCCATGAATCCTTACTGGCCACCTGTGGCCGCCCGGGGAGACAGCTGAAAGTTTTCAATACTCGCCACCAACAGGTGAGACTTACAAAGTATAATACAGTCCACTCCGCTTGAATTGATCTTCGGTTAAGTTCATCATTTTCTCGAGTTCCCGCTCATCTTCTTCACAAATCACAACAGTCTAGTTGAACTTTGGATGAGTTTACTCCCCCACCAGGGCTGTGCTACTGACTGAAGTTGTCTTCAGGCCATTCCCAAAGGGGGGATATTAACATGTTCTTATGCACAGTAGAATTGTAAACGGGCTGATTTATCTGTCATGCTCATACTGTGCCGGAACAACATAGGGGAAACTGCTGCTTTTTCTTTCCCCATTCTTACTATCGTCATTTTTCCTCTACTTTTGTATATTTGTCACTCTCTTGTAAACTGCTATTTCCGGGGTGCCTTGATAGTCGAAGCAGACTTTGTGCTGTTGAGGCTAGAGAGGTGAACAGAGTCCTGTAAGGACTTCTCTATGTTGACATCCACCCCTTGGTGCTCATGTGACCTTATGCAGTTGAGAGCGCCGTAATACCTCTACGAAAACTGAAAGGATGCGTTTATCTTTGTTTCATTCCCAGAAGACATTAACTCACCTGTAAGTCAACCTTATGATATATAAGCAAAATTGAACATGTCTCAATAATTGTTAGGTTTTTTTTAATAAGCCTTCTCAAAACGAAACTCAGCTATTTTGTGGATATGCAATTTTTTTGTTTTAATATTTTTTTTACAATGAATGTAACTGGAAACATGAAGAAATTGATTTATTTTCTTATCACTTTTCAATTGTGTAAAAAAAATGTTGTCTTTTGGGTCTTTGCACTTTTTCCTCTACGTGAGTAGTAGTAAGTACTCTCTAAAATAGGTTATGTCTCTCTCTCTCTCTCTCTCTCTCTCTCTCTCTCTCTCTCTCTCTCTCTCTCTCTCTCTTCCCCCCTCTCCCTCCCTCCGTCTCTCCGTACATGATGGAAAGTTTGAAAGTACAGTTCATTCGGATGTACGGTTTCTCCCTCCGCAGGTTCACGTGTCAACTTCCTTCTCTCTCTCTCTCTCTCTCTCTCTCTCCCTCTCTCTCTCTCCCTCTCCCTCTCCCTCTCCCTCTCCCTCCCTATGTGGAAAGTTTGAAAGTACAGTTCACTCGGATGTACGGTTTCTCCCTCCACAGCTCCACGTGTCAACGTCCCTGCCCATCTCGTACGGCCTGAGCTGGCACCTTCACCTTCCCCTGGTGGCGGTCGGGGGAGACAGAGCTGTACACTTGTGGACCGTCGAGTCCATCTGACCTCCGACCTTGACCCACTTCTTCAGATTGTGTTCACTTTTCGACAACTGTTACTGTAATGACGGACAAGGGGTGGTGTGGAAAGAATGTAACGCAACTTGTCGCAAAAGCTCTTTGAACGACGCAACAATAAAATATAATGAGTCCACATTCAAATATGGAAGATTACTGTTGTTTTTGCTTTTGGTCGTTTTTGTTTTGGGGGGGTTGTTTTGGTAATTTATTTTTTTTTAATTATTTTTTTTGTTGGGGGGGGGGGGGGAGTATTCTTCATTAGAATCCTTAACCCTCAACTTCTCTGTTTAAGAGCCATGTTAGTTGAAAAGGAAATTTATTTTACCAGATTTAATTTGTATTCTGCCTGTTGCAGGAGCACCTCTGTAATGTTTAGAGTTAAAGTACAGCTCTATCAGATCTCTTGTCCTGTTAAATAATAAAAGCTATTGCATTCTTTTCTCCTCACTGTAGGTGGTTGGTGGGTGCACTGGTGTGGTTGGTTTGCTCCTTCTTTTCTATCGAATGTCTACCATCCTTATCTCTCCTCTTTCTTTTCTTTGTATGTTACTCTCTGGTAACACCTCTAATCTTCTGGCGCTCATATGACCTTATGCAGTTGCAAGCGCCGTAAAACCTCTACTAAAACAAATCCTTATCTCTCCTCTTTCTTTTCTTTGTATGTTACTCTAAATTTTGAGCGCTTTTTGACCTAATTGCGCAGCAAGTGTAAAACTTTTACTAAACCTGAAACCTGATGTTCTTTTGCATCAACTAAAATGTTCTCCTTCCCATCATCCTCACTAGTGCTAGGCTGCTAGGTTCCCGATTATTGAAAGCTAGGAATTGTAGGAATTGACTCCGAACCCAATTACTTACTTTCTAATGATGTGATTTCTTCCGGTGGTTATCTAGTTGGCTCCGAACATCTTCAGGATTTGGGATAAACTTGATTTCAGAATACTACGAAGCATCAACTTCTATTTTTCAAAAATAAATTCTTTTTAAAAAAAAAGATTTTAATGATAAAAGTTACTGGTAACCGTTGGTTTACGTAAAGAGACAGAACTTTACTTCCGTAGTATTAATCGTGGGAATCAGTTCCGGAATCGACTTTTCGCCCAGCTCTAATCCTCACCCGTTAAGGCTTTAGGCTATAGGCACAGCCCTGTACCATCTCGTCTAGAACTGTGCTCATTGTTGAGATGTTTGCCCTGTCAGGATTTGGCTGGTAAATTTTTAGATAATAATGATATGATAAAATTAAAATTATAACTGCATTTATATAGTATAATATAGCGCATATCTTCACCCTACTGCATGCTCTGTTCACTTTACAACTATTATTACCCCAATAAACCCTAGAACACAACTAGGAAACATTCTCAGCTTCCCGGGAAGCATACAGTGCAAGCTGCAGATTTCACAGATCTTTCCCTGTCTGTCTATGGGCAAGTACTCATTCCCACCTTGGTGAAATGAGGTCTATTCATGTAAAGTGCCTTTCCGAAGGACTCAACATCTGGCAACTGATGGGATTCGAACCCATTTATGTTTGCGAGTCAGAAAACCTATCCATCTATCTAGGGATGCCGACACCATTTTGCAGTGGTTACGGTACTGTATGGGCAGTGGAGCCCCCCCCCCCCCACAGCAGTCTTTTAGTTTAGTTTTAGTAAGCGTGTACGGCACTTGCAACCCAATAAGGTCATAAAAGTGCCGAAGAATAGATGCGTTACAAGAGAGTAACATACACGAAAAAGAAGGAGGAAAGATAAGAACAATAGATGTTTGATAGGAAAGAAGGAGCAAACCACACAGAGCACCCACCAACCATCAGTCCACAGAATACGATGTTTGTGAAACAATGAGACGCTGAGCCCTTTTTTTAAAAACCATACTGGCAAAAACGTATTCTTTTTTGTCAAATACTTGTACAAACTACTTGTCTCTTTCTGTCGATTTACAATCTTAAAAGATCCCATGAAAATAAGATAATTCTTTTTTGTCCAGATCCTGGCACACTGGGTTGCTCTCTCTCTCTCTCTCTCTCTCTCTCCCTCTCCCTCTCAGAGCAACCACTCAATGAGGAACCAAGCCACAGTAGCTTGCAGTCGAGTGTCTCACCAACAGAAGCACAGGACAAACTCTTCACAATTCAATTAACACAAAACTCATCATTTGAAAGGTGCATACTTTTTAAGCAGTGGTTGGAAAAGGGCCATTGGCAGGCCCTACTCCTTTCCTTTCCCCCCGTTTTTGCTTGTTAGGTAATGTCTTACTTGTTCACTTCACTAAATTACCATTGCTGTGTCTGGGTTGGGTTGTTTTTTTTTGGGGGGGGGGGTTATAGTAGAGGGTTTTACGGCGCTCGCAACTGCATAAGGTCATATGAGCGCCAAGGGGTGGGTGTCAACAGAGAAGTCTTTACAGGGAATCAGACTTAGACTGCTCATCTCTCTAGCTTCAACAGCACAAGGTCTGCTTCGACTATCAAGGCACCCCAAAATAGTAGGTCACAAAGGAGTGACAAACGTACAAAAGAAGTAGAGGAAAATGATGATAGTAAGGATCAGGAAAGAAAAAGCAGCAGTTCCCTTTTGTAGATCAGGCACAGTTATGAGCGTGACTGTATTGTTTTTGTTTTAGTAGAGGTTTTACGGCGCTCGCAACTGCATAAGGTCATATGAGCGCCAGAAGATTAGAGGTGTTACAAGAGAGTAACAAACGTAAAAAAGAAGAAGGGAGAGATAAGGACGATAGATGTTTGACAGGAAAGAAGGAGCAAACCACACCAGAGCACCCGCCAACCACCCACCGTGACTGTTTACTACTCTTTACTCCAACAAAGAAAAACAACCCAAAAAACGTTCATAGTTCTGATATATATTTCATAGATTAATTTTTACATTGTGTACATGATATTAGATAGGTAATATGAATTGGAATGAAAGGGCTTTATACATGATAGCTTGACGGACATTCCTTCATGTTACACTAAAGAGTTTAGTACACAGATCATTTTAAACTCGAGGAAGGAAAAAAATAAGGAGGAAGCCACCTGCACAGATATGGCAAAAAAACAAGACCACAATACACATCGACAAAGTTCACATTGACAAAGTTCCTCACCCTGTAAGGACAAAAATAAAAAGGAGAACAAACTTAACAGATCAAAAGCCAGGCCAAAGTACCATTCAAGCTATCAAAGGAATATGAGGAGCAATCAATGAAATGCAAGGCAGTATTCTTTTATGCATCAACATAATTTGATATGCAAATATTCTGGGATGGGGGGGGGGGAAATAAGCATCACCTGTGAACGGCTTCAGTCCTCCTAGCATGGACAACTCCGATACTTTCAAACGCAAAGTTACGATCAACTTCCAGCAGAAGAGACGAAAACTATAAATAGCAGCTGTTATTATTGCAAGAAAAATGAGTAACATCAAATATTTTTTCCGTGTCTGGTAGAGTCAGGGCCAAACACTTGTTACACATTCTTGGGACATTGATACAAATGCAAGACTGTGAGAAGACTCTCCTCTTCTACGTAATTTACCATAGTCTTTTATCTTATACCACACAGTCCAAACATAAGCAAAAGCTTTTTAATAACCTATGATGCACCCTTTTACACATAATTTGAGTTTCTATGGAAACAACTGAACAGTATTCACTTGTAAAACAAAAACTCTTCATAATTAGTAAAAGTGTGGGGCAACAAGCTAGAGGAGGTAATTATTTCATGTGGAGACCTCTTGGACAACAGGGCTGCCATCCCTAATGAAACAAAACTCGAGCTTTTCAGAGAAAGCCAACTCCATATCAGTATTATCAGTCCTGTTTCCTGTTCACCGAATTTATTAAAGTGGTCCCTCATGAAGACTCATAGTAAACAGTAACCAAAAAAAAACCAAAACCCAAAACCAAATCAAACTAAAAAGGGGTCTTGACAGAAAGGTGGTTTTCATTCATCTATTGTACAACCATATAGATTCTTTGTGCAAAAAATGGGGTCTTTATGCAGATCAATATATCCAAATGTCATAAAAATCTAGAATCGTTAATATGGAATCTGGTGAAATAATGAATAACAATAAAGAAATCAAATCTACAGGAGAAAAAAAAGGAAGGATTGGCAACCCTGTATGATAATAAAAATCAACACATGTACACAT